GAACCGGGGATTGAACTCAGGACCTTGCGCTTGCCTGGGAAGCGCTTATTCTACTGAGCCATCTCCCCAGCCAAATATCTTACCTTCTATCAAAATTAGGCATTCATTTGAAAGTGGGAGAATACCATTGTGTTTTACAAAATGAATAACCACTTTTCGTCCTCCTTGATCTGCAGTGGTCCAGATTTCTGAATCATATAAAGGCGTATTTTGTAATTTGGGATCTGGGGTTTTAGTTGCTCCATCTCTGAAAATTACATCCAAATTGTTCTCATGTGGAACTTCTTGCCTAAAATCATTGACATGAAGTATTAAACAATTTTTATATAATCTAGAAAAATCCAATTTAACAAATTATCCAAATAATATCAGTTCTGTATTTTGTTTTTGCATACACTAAGATAATTCATTTTGCAAATTACCTGATTTTCATTCTCTCTTTTGTATTTTGTACAGATCTACATCATAATTACATTAATCACTGATAATTTCCAAGTTACTAGTAACTCTTTGTTATACTGGACTGCTTTCCTTTTTAAAGAAAATAAAACTTTTTAGTGGGAAAAACACTTTAGCAGCTCTCTGTCTTCAATCCATTTTATCTCACTTTCATGGGGCACTTATTGTAAGGCCAGAATTCATTTCAATTCCTTCTAATAATGTGATTTTTTGAAAAAAATCACATGGATAAAGGATCAACATATAAAGAGCCCGGTTGGGGCTGGGGAGATGGCTCAGTGGAATAAGTGCTTCCCTGACAAGCGCAAGGGCCTGAGTTCAATCCCCAGTTCCGGAAAAAAAAAAGAGCCTGGTTTAGGATCTATTATCTTTATTCTGATTCTGTCACTATCTTTGACCACTCGCTTAACTTCTATGAGATGCTTCTCTTGTATTTTAAAGGGAGATCATAGAGTGGTTCTGTTTTATAAGCTCTATGATTTTGTAGATTTTAATGAACCAAAATTTGATACTTCAAAAATTGTCTAAAATTGTTACATGTCTTTAGTCCTAAATACATTTTCAAGTTAAGAATGGGTAAAAATATTGGTCCTTCATATTTTAGTGACTTGGTGATTAAAAATCTCCCTAAATATTAA